CATATTTGGAATATATCTCATATAGCTCTTTAATCCGCTTTCTTTTCAAGGAAGATTCATGGGTGACTTTGTTCCAGATCTCATGCATGTCCTTTAAAAGACAAAGGATGAATAACAGTTGAGTGGTCCTACACTCATTTACTTAGTAATGCTGAATTTGAGCAGTAAGTAAGTATTGTATATGACATTTGGTCCTCACCTGATAGCTGTATGCTGTCAAATCAGAGATGATTTGATTTCAATGTTTTGCATAAGGCTTTCAATATTGTCATTATGCTCTGACAATCTGAGAAGAATATCCTTTCCCGTCTGTCTAAATAAAGGTTTGAAACCCTAAATGCAGAAATGTCACAATATAAGGCACCTTTGAGAGATATAATTAGTAATACTGATACAGTGATTAAACACTAGATGGAGAATAGATTAACTGGGCTCTACATAAGAATAAACACATTTTGGCAATAAATATAGAAGTGTGTACCACACTGATGCTGGAGAGATCTGTCTGCAACTGAGAAACAGCTTCATTGTGATCCCTTCGCCTTTTCTCCACAAGACGATTAATGATACCTGAGGTTACAGACAAAACAGAATCACACCGACTTTTAGTTCCAAAAAATTTTTTGGGAAAGATGCAAAACATTTTTGTTCTTAGACATTATTAGATAACATCACATTATTAGGACATGTATTAGACATACATAAATTGTATAATGTCAATCAAACAATTTTGAAGTATTTTGCAATTATTTTATGTTATACAATTTATTTATTATTATTGAAAAGAAATCTGGCAAAACGTCTTATTGAGTTTCATTGTCTTTTTGAGTTTCTTTATTGTTTCTTTGACTGAAAATTATTGTTTTTACATACACTACCATTCAAAATTTTGGGGACAGTAAGATTTTTTTTTTTTTATGAATACTTTAAAGTAGCAAGGACACACTGACAGTAAAGACATTCATAATATTACAAAATATTTTAAATAAATGCTGTTCTTTTGAACTTTCTATTCATCTAACAATCCTGAAAAAAGTATAATGGTTTCCACAAAAATATTACGCAGCTAAATTGATATTAAGATATGCTTGTCTGTTGTTGGACTAGGAAATGCATATCAGAAAGATTTACGTGACACTGAAGACTAAAGCATGGCTGCTGAAAATTCAGCTTTGTCATCACAGAAATAAATTACACTTTAAAATATTTTCAAATAGAGAAACGTTATTTAAATTTTTAAAAGTATTTTATTGTATTTTTGATCAAATAAATGCAGCCTTGGTCAGCATAAGAAACTTCTTTCAAAAACATTTTAAATATCTTGTATTACAAAAAGAGAAAACATTTATCTCCTATTGCTATGTACAGATCACTTCCATGCACTTTCCTCTACACAATTCTGTCTTTTCAGGTAACATTTTATTTTACAGTGTCCTTGTTACACATGACATGTTACTTGCACTAGTACTAACAGTAAATTATGCATAATTACAAGCAACTAACTCTAAGCCAAACCCTAATCCTATAACCTATAGTACATGCTGTTCATTACTCAGTACTTATTGGTGTGATTACACTGTAACAAAAATTGCCTTGAAAAGAAAAGAAAAGACTCTATGATACAAACAGTTCAGCATTACTGAGACTTTTAGTTCTCACCAATAGTGTCTGGAAGACCCCAAACCTCCTCACTATCATCCTGGTCCTCACTTTTTCCAACAGAATAAAGTGTGTTCCTATCAAACAGAGTACTTTTAATTACGATTAATGTCTTTAAACTAAAATCTAATTTGTATCTTGAACAGCAGCAACCGTGTGTTGATGCTGAATGTCCCATTGAGGCGCTGTGATGCGGAGTCCGCCGCATCTCCACTGAGCAGACAGTCGCCCTCATCCGCCACACGCTTCCTCCGCGAGTCATAGAGAGCCAGAGACAACTGAACCTGAGCACAAACACTCACTTATCAACATACGCCAAGAGCTGCGTTCAGGCCAGGATTTTGCACTCAAAAGTATCCACAATATTACAAACATCAACAACATGTAAAACGCACATTTGTCTTTCAGATACTATGAATGCTGTTACCTGGGCGTCAAACATCTGCCGGTAAACTTTACCACTGGAAAGCACACGTGTGTCTGCCATTGTAGGTACTAGGGGTGCTCCGATTGATCGGCTACTAGGGATGTAACGGTTCACTCAACTCACGATTCGATTCGATTCACGATTTTGATTTCACGATTCGATTCGATTCGATTCACGATTGTTTTTAACAAAATGAGATTTAAGAGAACTTATTATAAATACAGGAATTGTCACTTGCACAGTCCAGGCAGTGTCACGTTGTCACTAAAGTTTATAAATTGCATTTCTTTTCAATTCTTGCCAGTGTTTAACCATTCAGCGCTCGCGCGCTCTCCTGGACACCGTGCGCTCATGCACACTCGCAGCACACACACATAACGCCAGGTTCATAATATTACTCCGTTTGCAGTGCATATGTGGTGCATATTTTTTCCGCGCTCATGTTAACGGATTAAAGCGTTTACGGCACACGGTTGCGGTCCGGCAGTGCGTTCAGGAGTGGTGCGTCTGCAGCAGAGCAGAGATCGTTTCCGCACCAAGTCTATTGCTGCGCTGCAAAGCGCTGAATTAAAGTAACAGCGCATTGTTTGCAGTAAATATGAACATGGATTGACACGAAAAGGTAGTAATTACAGCATAAATGCATATTATTAAAGGGGTCATATATGATGCTTTTTTAAAGATCATTATTTTGTGTATTTGGTGTAACAGAATATGTTGAGTACTCTTGGAGGTAGAAAAACAAAGTTCTTTATGAACCACAGGATTACTTGTAATAAAGATTTCATTGCAAAAGAAAAGGCAGTAGAGCTGACTATTTCTGTCAATGGTAAGTTTGTGATAACGTAAGAAAAGTAGTTTAAATGTTTTGCCACTTGCTTGAGCAACTTAATATATAAATCTAGAAGTAAATGCAAAAGTAAAAAGCATTGAATAATGTGTTGCTTATATTTGTGTTTAAACATGTCTGTGAAAGATTGTATTACTGTACTGTGTAAAAAAAAGAATTGCAATGTTGAAAAAGCATTTTCAGTGACAATGTTTGGATTTGAAATCAAAATAATGGATAAATGTTGTGTTTGTGGTAAACAGCCACAGATCAGTACTCAAATTTCCCATTCAAATGTAATTTGAACCATAGCCTATTACCAGTAAAATTTTAGTGCAGTAATTAGTCAAACAAACATTTTTGATAGCAAAACAGTTATACATAATACTGTATTTTATTTTACACTTCAATTTCAATTCAATTTCACAAAAAAATAATTAGAATATCACATTCACAAAGGTTCATATATCATTCATGCCCATATATGAGAAACTAGGGATAAACAGGGGCGGATTTAGTGATTTGGGGGCCCCAGGCAAAATATAGGAATCGGGCCTTATATATTTGCACACATTTACCTAGATCAGCCTTGAGGTTCCTTTTTTGTTGTGATGCTTGCTGCTGCACAATGGTGCCCCACAGTTGTGTCCAGTGTTTCTACATTTTTCATGGACATGTTATAATGTCTTTCTTTCATGCTGTAGACCACGAAATAGCAATTGATTTACAGTTTTTTTTTCACAAAAACAAAATAAATTATAAAATGATAAACGTCACAATTGAGCCTTTAAACCATTTTTTAAGAAAAGAGATGAGTCGGAAGTATAAATTATGATATTAATTTAAAACGGGGTTATGTGGGTGGATTTTTGCATTGGTCTGAACAAAAACTGCAGACGGGATTATTGAAAATGCATATTGATTCTCTGCCAGCAGGAAGCGCTTTTGTAACATCAGAAGTACAGCGCTTTCCCCGGTCACGGCTGTAAACAAAGCAGCGCTGCTCATGAACGCTACTTTATCAGATAAAATGAAAATGTCACCGAAACTTTTCTGAAGACAGTCGGTACCCTTCAGAGATTCATTCATATAAAAACTTGAATTAGTGAGAATGAGAAAAATATAGCCTATATTGAGAAGGAAAGTCCACTGATGAGTTACCAGCGTAAGCCTGTGTGCCAAAGGCTGTCTAATTCTAACCTTTAAAATACACTTATTTTAGTTATTTTAACTACAAATTTAAATGAAAATGAAAAAATAATGAAATGGAAATTATACATTTACACACCTTAGTATTATATCAACCAAACAAGTAACGGTGTATGCGTCCTCTAATTGGGTCCTTCTCATAAATGAGTAAGTGGCATTTAAAACAATAAACATATAATATACACTGTTGCTCTCTGGGGATAAATGTCAGACTTATCCACCTTTTTCTTGCCGTAAAAATTGGGCGCGGCCATTTGTAAATTCTATGGGTCTAGCTTCCGGTCTCATCGGCGTCCAGCTATTTTTATCTGTACAAAACAGTTCGTTTTGCTGCTTGATATTGAAAATTTGTGTGTCTTATGATATTATTTTAATGTATTATCTTAATTATGAACACACTGGTTTGTAGTGCAAACAGTAACCGCTCCTTTTGCTGCTTGATATTGAAAATGGGTGTGTCTTACCATATTATTTAAATGTATTATCTTAATTATGAACACACTGGTTTGTAGTGCAAACAGTTTAACCGTTTACTGCACGTTGTTATTCTTCTCGTTATTTCCCTATAGCGGCCAATGAACCGGAAGTCTCACCCATAGGCTTACTTCCGCGTTAAAGAAAAAGGTGGATAAGTTCAGTGAATATTTTTTAGGGTACGTTTATTTTTAAACATCAGTTACTGCAACAGAAAAAAAGAGAACAAGATTTACATGAAAAGATGTTTTATATTTATTATATAATATATATTAATAGATAACAGGAAATTTGGCAGATCAGACTCATCTTGACAGCATAAGTGATTGACTGGACATACTTTGACAGTGAACACTATTATATTGATATGATGTTGTTAATCAGGTTTTATGGGTCACTGGATGCAAAACAATGTTGGATTGTCATTAAATTGTATTTTAATATGCCGTCAAAGAAGGCCACATTTCGTCCCCTTGTCCAAAGTTGTATGTCACGTCCCGTCTGTATCACTCCCAGTAGTGTTGTCTAGGATGCACTGCACACTCTCTTTGTCTGTGAATTTTTTGGTTCTTAAAGCACATTTCCTGTTCAAGACCACATTAGTAGTATTGCTTAGAAACTAATCATTCAGTTCAATTAAAATCTGAAATATAGTTGTAGCTCTTCTTCAATGGTTAATTCCAATGATTAAATTGTTGTTATGAAAGAATACAAAAAACCAACCTCCTATAATAAAAGTTGCATTTTCCTTCAAGTCTGCAGTTAGCTGATATGTCCTCCTCAGTGAACATCCTCTCTGAATACTGCAAACATGAAATATGCATAAAAAAGGAAGCCACTATCACTGTATGCATAAACATCCACAACAAAGATACCTACATTGTTCTCGCCAGATGTTTGGTTTTGTGACTCTTCACTCATATCTGTGTGAGAAAACAGGAACAAGGTTTAAAAAACAAGAACAATCTATTTTATGAGCATGAGATCTGATGGAGAAAAACAGTGAATGTTACCCTTTTCACGTCTTTCCCTGGACTCCTCCTCACTGGTCTGACTTTTCATCTGTGGACAAAATGTAAGCAACCCTGTTGATGACTAAAAATAATACAAACCAAATGCTGTGGAGGACAATGTTGCTTTAAAATGAGAAAGACAATACAGAAATATCTTATTTCCCAAGAGTGTTTGCATTTAAACGTTTAATAGAGAATTAATTAAAATGACCTCAAATGAACTCAGCAAGGAGCTTTCTTCTGAGTTCTGAGGAATAAAACAAATCATAATAAACATACTATTCATTATAAACCATTACCCAGTGATGATACATTATGTGCCTAAAGATAATGTGCTTAAATCAGAGTGACACAATAGAAAGCCTAACCCTTTGAACTCACTAATGATTCATCTGTTCCATTCACACACGTCACGCTCACTCCGTGTAGCAGAATTTTCGAGTGTACATACCACTTGAATTGGGTTTTTCTTTTTGCGAAGCTTTGAATGGAGAGCAAGAACTTCTCCTTGAGTTCGAAACAACTGGACTTGAAGTTCATCATAACGCTCGCCCATCTCCCGGATCTGTTTGCGGTACTGGTCTTTGTCTTGGAGATTTTTTGAGTTCTCCAAATGGTACTCCTCTCTTGTATAAATAGCCTATCAAAAGGACAGTGCCATACAACTGTTGTGGTTAATGTGATGCATACAACGGATACATTGAATAAATTTGAATAGAGATTGGCCTTTCTTCATCTAACACAGATGTGCCCAAACTTTTTATTATGAAGGGTCAAAAATCAAACTAGATTTAGGGCCGTGGGCCAAAAGTAAATGTTGCATTATATCCAACTATATTAAAATTTACATTTCTTAATCATTTCTTAATCATATTTATATTTTCTACATTTCAGTGCGAACATAAAAATGTTAAATACAAAAAGATAAGGTAAAAGTTAAGATATGCTTTAATGCCATGTTTTTGAACATAAAATATGTTGCAAACATAATGTTGCTATATGTTCTCTCATGCAAAGATAAAAGTGTGATACCTTGTCTCTTTCTTTGATGACCTCTTCCAGCTGCTTCAGAATGTCTTCCATTCGGTCACAGTACATTTTGGAGTCCTTTTTTAGCATTGTGCACTTCAGTTTCAACTCATCCTTCTCCTCTCGATACTTAAATTTAAAACCAAAATTATATATAATAATATTAATGAATAATTTGTTACATTTATATAGCGCTTTTCTGGGTACTCAAAGCACTTTACATGGAAGGGGGGAATCTCCTCAACCACCACCAATGTGCAGCATCCACCAGTCTGTTGGGATACATCTCTACTAACTTTGCACATCTAGACTTTGCAATATTTGCCCAGTCTTCTTTGCAGAACTGCTCAAGTTCAGTTAAATTTGATGGTGAGCGTTTGTGGACTGAAGTCTTCAAGTCACTCCACAGATTTTCAGTAGGGTTTAAGTCTGGGCTCAGACTAGGCCCTGCAAGGACATTCACCTTTTTCTCCTTCAACCACTGTGTGCTCAGTTTTGCTGTGTGCTTTGGGTCATTGTCATGTTGGAAGGTAAACCTTCTTCCCACTGACAACTTTCTGGCAGAGGGCAGCAGATTTT